CGTGGCTGCGATTGTTTACAATGTGTAACGACAACTTGGATGATGAAAGTGAAATTACTATCACCAAGTTACAGATGATACAAAAATAGGTAGGAAGGCAAGCAGTGAGGATGATACTGTGAGTCTGCAGATGGATACAGACAGGCTAAATGAATGGGCAAAAACTTGGCAGATGGAATGTAATGTGGTAAAATGAGAGCCCAGGCACTAAATTTAATCTTTGTATTAGAGTTAACTTTATAAAAATGTTTGTTTTTGTACAATTCTTTAGAATTTCATGACTTAAAACTATGCATTGACTGCATGTATAAAAATAGTTCACTACACTTTCTTTTAGATACTCTATAGAACAATTTGCTTAGATTAATATTTTGTGATCTTCTGTGATAGTTTTATATAATTTTGAGGGTATGAGCAACTTATTACACTACATCATTTGTTTTTAAAAGATTATAGGAAATTAACTGGCTTGAAGCATGAATAAATGGTCAGTGATAAGTGTCTGATATAATAGAAACTTGCATCATTAAGCGAAAATTGGGATGTTAAGCACGAACAATCATTGGCTTTTGATACTATACTTTCTATTGCTAAAAGAAATAGGTTAAAAAAAACTATCCTCTTATCTTGGCAAAAAAATGTCACAAAAATAACTAAAATAAACCATAATGAAGAGGATGGGCCCATGGATCATTGTCAATTTAAGGATCAAATCATAAGACAATGGTTAGTGAGGTCAGTAGATGACCATCACTTTTACTGACAATAAATCAGAAATTGAGCACGCACTATGCAGCCTGCCCAAGACTAACTATGAACTCTCCATACATTACCCGGATAACTAGGAGTTTGATTATGGAATACCTGGACCAGAGTTCGGACACATCGCATATTATGCTATTGGTTGTGATTTAGAAAGGATTAATTAGGCCTACTTTAACATAAATAAAACGGCTCCTACTTTTTAGTTGTGTGTTGTGAAGTTTTCTGCCTCAACTATCCTCCCAAGCAGAGCATTCCAGACATCTAACGACCTCTGGGTGGAAAAGTTTTTCTTCAAATCCCCTCTAAACCTCCTGCCTTTTACTTTAAAATTATGCCTCCTTGTTACTGACCCTTCAACTAAGGGAAACAGCTGCTTTCTATTCACCCTGTCCATGCTCCTCATAATCTTCTACGCTTGTATCAGGTTCCCCCTCAACCTTGTCTGTTCCAAAGAAAACAACCAGAGCTTATCCAGCTCCTCTTCATGAAATGCTGAAACGCTCCATCTCAGACAACATCCTGATGAATCTCGTCTGAATTCCACCCATGCAATCATGTACTTCTTATAATGTTGTGACCAGAACTGCACACAGTTATCCAGCCATGGCCTAGCTAAAGTTCTGTACAGGTCCAACATGACGCCATGGTCTTATAAGTTTACTGTATGTCTATTTAAATACCCTAGTAACCTGTCCTGCTACCTTCAGGAATCTGGACAAACACCCCAAGACAAAAACCTCTGTTGAGTCCTGAGGAAGGGTAATGCCCGAAATGTCAACTGTTCCTTTCCTCCAGATGATGCTTGGCCTGCTGTGTTCTTCCAGCCTCCTGTTTGTCCACCTAGGTTTCCAGCATCTGCAGTTTTTTGTCTCTAACTAAGTTTTACCACTGCAAAGTCTCTTCAAGGAATGCCCACTTTGAAGAAGTTCTCTGCCTCCCTCAGACGTGAACTCAGTGAGTCACTTTCTCACTGCCACACTGCTGTGACCTCTTCAGCCCTTTGACCACACCACGAAACAAACCCACTACTACAGCCACGTGACCTTTCTCAGCTCCTGTCAGTCCTGAAGAAAGGTTATACCTGAAATGTTAACTGCTCGTTTCCCTCAGATGCTGCCTGGCCTGCTGTGTTCTTCCAGCCTCCTGTTTGTCCACCTTGGATTCCAGCATCTGTAGTTTTTTCTGTCTCTAAGAAAAGCCTCTGTTCCTCTGAGCTTCCCTTGCCTTGCCATTCATTGAGTACTTCATTGTCTTGCTGCTTCTTCTAAAGTGTATCACCTCACATTTATCAGGGTTAAATTTCATCTGCCACTGATCTGCCTATTCATCTGACCAAGCCAGTTATATCCTCTTTTAAGCTGAGACCTTCTTCCTCATTATCAACAACCCAGTCAAGCTTTATCATCTGCATCCCTCCTACATCCTCATCTACATCATTTATGAATATCACAAACTATGGAGGACCCAGCACTGATCCAATGGTATGCCACTGCACACAGGGCTCCAGTCACTCAAATAGTCTTCTATCACCATCCTCCATCTCCTATCACAAAGCCAATTTTGGATTCATCTTGTTGAGTTACCCTGGATCCCATGGGCTTTTACCTTCTTTATAAGTTTCCCATGTGGGACCTTATCAAAGGCCTTGCTGAAATCCATATAAACTACATTAACTGTCCTAGCTTCATCCAAAACTTGGTCACCTCCTCGAAACATTCCACCATTTTTATTCAGCATGACCTCACAGTGACAAAGCCACACTGATTGTCCCTGATCAAAACTGTGCCTCTCTAAATTAGAGATTAATTTTCTCCCTCACTGGTTTATCCAATAGTTTCCCTAACACTGATGTTAGACTCACTGGTCAATCTCTGCTGTCCAGTCCTCTAGCAGCTCTCCTGTGGCCAGAGACGATTTAAAAGTTTGAGTCAAGGCCTCTGTATTTTCCTGGAGAAACACAGCAGGCCAGGCAGCATCAGAGGAGCAGGAAAGTTGGTGTTGCGGGTCGGGACCCTTCTTCAGAAAAAGAAGGGTCCCGACCCAAAACATCAACTTTCCTGCTCCACTGATGCTGCCTGGCTTGCTGTGTTCCTCCAGCTTCACACTGTGTTATCTCTGACTCCAGCACTGGCAGTTCTTACTATCTCTCTGTATTTTCCTCCCTTGTCTCCCACAACAGCCTCGGATGGAACTCATTTCGATCTGGATATTGATCCACGTTTAAATCTGCCAAATTCTCCAAATCCTCCTTGCTTCTTATTTCAAGCTGTTCAAGAACTTCACAGTCCATTTTCCCAAATTCTGTACTTATATCCTCCTTCTCCCAAGTATAGACAATGCAAAGTAATGATTTAACACCCAACCAATGTCTCACTCTACCATTTGCAAAAATCAAAAACAGAGAGCTAGAGAAACAATGTGGATCTGGCAGCATCTGTTGATAGAAAACAGTTAACATTTCAAGTCCAGTTACCCTTCATTAGAACTAAAGATAGCTGAGGAAGGGTGAAACTTAATCTTCCATTTGCCAAAGCTTACCCATTTGTTTCACATATCAATATCTCTTTGTAAATTTATGTTTCTGTCTATACCGCTTACAATGTCACCTAAATTTATTCATCAACAAAGGTGGATATGTAATTTTCTATCTTGTCATCCACATTGTTAATAAATATGATGAATAGTTCAGGATAAAACATTAATCCTTCTGGGACACTAGCAGGTGCCTCTAGCCATGCATATATCTGCCTATTGACCCTGCTCTCTCTCTACAGCTGCTCAATTAATTTCCTAGCTAGGTCAATATTTGCCTTCAATTTTAGCTTGCAGTGAATTACAAGAGATGTTATCAAATGCTCCCTGGAAAAGCATCTACTTACAGTTCTTTGTCTACTATATTAGTCACTCTTCCAAAAAACATAATCGGATTTTCTTAGTCTTCACTTTTCAGAGGTGTTCATTTAATCAAACTAGATACAAAGATTGGTGGAGTTGCAGGTAGTGAGGAGGATTGTCAGAGGTTACAGCAAGATTTGGATCAGTTGGAGGCATGGGCAGAAAAATGGCAGTTGGAGTTTAATCTGGACAAAAGTGAGGTGATGCATTTTGGAAGGTCAAGTACAGATGGAAGTTATACAGTGAATGACAGAACCCTTAGGAGTATTCATATGCAGAGGGATCTGGGCGTGCAGGTCCACAGATCACTAAAGGTGACAGAACAGGTAAGTAAATTGGTAAAAAAGGCCTATGGCATTCTTGCCTTCATTGGAAGGAGCATTGAGTATAAAGATAGACAAGTTATGCTGCAGCTTTATAGAACCTTAGTTAGGCCACATTTAGAATATTGTGTACAGTTCTGGTCACCACACTACCAGAACAATGTGGATGTTTTGGAGAGGGTACAGAAAAGGTTTACCAGGATGTTGCCTGGTTAGGGGTATTTTAGCTATGAAGAAAGGTTGGATAGATTGGAACGCAGGAGGTTGAGGGCTGGGGGGGCGGCCTGATATAAATTTCTAAGATTGTGAATGGCATAGATAGAATGGAAAGTATGAGGCTTTTTTCCAGGGTGCAGTGGTCAATTACTAGGGGACACAGGTTCAAGGTGCGGGGGCAAAGTTTAAAAGACATGTGGGAGGCACATTTTTCACACAAACCGTGGGGAGTGCCTGGAACACGCTGCCAGAGGTGGTGGTGGAAGCAGACACAATAGCAGAATTCAAGAAGCACCAGGATGAATACATGAACAGGAAGGGAACTGAAAGATATGGATCCTGTGAGTGAAGACACTTTTAGTATGGAAGAGCAAAACGTGTCGGCGCTGGCTTGGAGGGCTGAAAGGCCTGTTTCTGTGTTGTATTGTTCTTTGTTTTTTTGTTTGTAAATGTCCACAATTTACAATGCTCTGTTCCATAAAGAGCCACTGCAGATCTAACTTATTAAAAATGGAACTTGCAGATCAGACAGCACTGTGGAACTGACATAGTGAATTCAAAACGACATCCCAATGTGGTGATGGTGTTCTTTCAGTTTGGTGGGTCCCTTCAACAGCTTCCATCATTCTTCACCTCTCTCCCTTGCCATTGTATTTTGAAGACAACGTATCACAAATATTTTAGTTATATTTGACCAGAAACTATATCTAAAGTGGTAACAGCTGAACACTTTAAATCACATTCGAGGGCATCATGCACTCATATTAGAATTGACTAGGGAAGATATAACTCTGAATGTACCTTGAAGTAGATGGACTGAATCTTTCCTCCTTTTCCACATCCTTGGCTTGTACTAGTGGATTTTCAATTACAACTAGCAAAAAATATTTTCAAATTATAAAGTACATAGATACATTATCTTTGAAGCTCTGTATACTGTATTAAGAAAGAGGGTCAACCAAGTGAGGGGGGAAAACAATCTTAGTATATTAAACTTGGGTCCCTAAAAGGCAACCAGTGGAAAACTCAGGATTGGCTTACTGACAGAACAAAGAACTACTTTGTGATAATATGACTGAAAAGTCCAAAAGCTCTAAAGAGGAGCAAAATACATGTAAAATAGTAGTACTATCACAGTATCCCTCTTTTAAAATAGGCCCAATATCCTGTTCACACCTTTAAGATATAAAAAGTTGACATTGCTATGTATTCATTCCATAACTTTAAACTAAGTCTCAGAAAGAGATGTCATATCAAATCTTTTTACATGACATTATGGCCCGAGTCTTCCAAGCAGCAGTGGCAAAAACTTTGTGCGCAAGGGGTTCTCCTGACATTGTAATGAGCACATTTCTTTCATCTGTGGAACACCATCAGAGTGGTTCTGGGAGAGGGCAGCAGTCAGGTGGTCAGGGGCATAGTTGGATTGGGGTTGTAATTGGGTTGAGTGGGAAGGGGGCGGGGTAGTCAGGTCACTGAAGGTAATCAGATCAGGGTAGGGATTAAGCAGGTTAGTGGGGGAGAGCTGTGCTGTTGGGTCAGTTTAGCAGTCAGGTCAGAGGAGCAAGAGCTAGGTGGTCAGGGGATGGTTGGGTCTAGTTTGGGGGATAGAAGGACATTGGTTGAGGAGTAAGGGGATACTGATGGGTGTGGAGTCAGTTGTGGAGTTGCCCAGGTGTTAAATCAACCTTTGACTCTTTAACTTTTCCTGATTAACTATCTGATAAATACCACGGACCCATCCTGATTCTCTGACTCGAGATCAGCAGGGAAATTGCTCATTGAAAACTCAAGATTTCATGGCATTTCATACATGGATCCAATGGTTAGGACTTGCACGATTTTCTGGCACACATCTTCCAGCGTCTGCCCAATCTGAATCTGAATTCTGAGAGTCTAATTGATTCTTTTGGAGGGTTCCAAGTGGAGTGCAATTGCCCACTGGAAATTCATTTTTTCAGGCAATTCCCATGCAGTCAGCTGCAGTGGGAACTCCACATGGTGCTACTGAGCAGTGACTATCTGAAAATCAGGATATCTAGTCAAATTTACATCTCAGACCATGTAACCAATTACCTCAATAAGAAGAGAGTTAAAAATACTCTAAAATTAGAATATGGTGTGGGGGCATCAAAATCTGCAGTTAAAAGTCTAGCAAAAAAAAACTATAAAAGAATAGAATGGTATGAGTTAACAGTTCCAGGAACATGATAAAAATCAACTGTAAACCGGTTTGCATTTTGACAGGCCAGAATGTATTGTATTAATTAGATTATTTTTCACAATTCTATTTCCTGTAGTCAGCATTCAAGAGTTGGAATTTTGCTAATCCCTAATTAATGCAGAATGACCGGCTTCAGAGAAACACACAGCCAAAGTCAGCCAAACCAACATGAAAGTGAGCTTCAAGTCACTCCTGGTTTGAATCTAAGCTCTTAAAAACTGCACAGTCATAAAGCTAATTTTATTGATGTAATCTGTATAAACAATAGATAAAAGGCAAAATAACAAAAAACATGCAATAACTTAAGACACAGTGTATAATCCTGTAAAACAGGAATTAAAAAACACCACAAACATTTGATAAAATGATTACTAGAATTTATCACTAAAGATACCAATCGAAAGCATATCCAGCATTCCTAAAACTCCCAAATTATCAGCAAGTTGCAGATTCATGGGCTCCTATTCCTTATTTGTGTTCTCTGACTCCTAGAAGGGTATATAGTTGTCAACAATCACTGTTCAGGCTGACAGAACTATTGATATATGCAGACATCAACACCTCAGTAAAACATGGGTTCATTTCTTTGATAGTCCGAAAAGCATGCAAAACATGCAAACTGCATGTTGTCCTGAAAAATGGACATTTGGATAAACATCTTAGGACTATTGATGTATATGGAATCATTTCAAAGAACAAATCATTTTCTTCATGAAGTCTATGGGTAATGGGGGCAAGGTTGATACAGTAGAAAATACATTTCGACTAACTATCAAGGGCCTAAGGGTCTGACAATCTAAACTTAAAGACTGTTAGCATTTATAACTAACAAAACAATTGGAGTAGAGTGTGACTGATGTTTTAAGCAAAGTATGTGTCTTGGATGAACTAAATTGTTGAAAATCAATATGCATATGGATCATTTAACACATTGTTTGAATGGTACACGTTTCCTTCAAAATAATATGCAACATACATGTGAAAAGTACACATGCTATGAAATATTTCTGTTTTGAGGTTTATTTTATTAGCGAGTCAGTTAATTAAAACGTACCGCAGTCCCCAATTCGGAAACTGTTTGAGAGCCCTCTTACATATTCTTCTCTCCCCCATGAAACTACATTGATGAAGTAAACTGGACAATCCCGAATTGTGAAAGTAAAAGTGTATCTTTCTGTTCCAATGTCTAAAGAAAGTAAACAAAATGTTACCAAATTGTATGCATTTGTACTTCTAACACAACGTGTAAATATCTAGATTGTTACTGATTTAAACTATCAATGTACATCTGAATGTACTGCAGTAATTCAACAAGGCAGTTCACCTCCACCTTCTCAAGGGCAACGAGAGATGGGCAATAAAAACAAATGCTGGCCAGCCAGTGACACCCATGTCCCGTGAGTGAATAAAAATAAAATACAATATACACACTGACATCACAATTTTTAAACTAGTAAAGAGAAAAGCCATTTACTTCTGCTTTCTCCCTTCCTTCAGGAGGATTCTGGAAGTTTCAAGCACCTTTATATGTAGAGAAAAGCTTTCCCATCAACTTTTATTTATTCTAATTACATAGAAATTGTAAAACACAAAATTTCAGTTCAACCAGTTTTTGTTGGTGTTTACTCTTCAGATTTCGCTTTTCTCCACCTTTGCTTCAACCATCTACTTTAAGTGTTCTGAAATACTTAAATTATCTCTACTCCTCTCACTACCTTGGAATATATTCACAGTCTCGGTATTGTGTGTAAAAAAAAGTTTCTTGTTTCTGTCCCAAATTTCTACAATTTAACATGAGGGATGGGATTTTACAAAGGACCATGAATTCAGACTTCAGTGCAGTGTGGCTTAGAAAATTGTGGTCCCAAAGCCCAGGTTGGAACCCCTATTCCTCCAAGACAATTCAAGTTTTCATTGGACTAATAGTAGAGAGGGGGCAGGGAAGGAGTTTTCCTCCTATTAAAGGCCCCAAGGAGCTGTATGGAATGGAATTCAATTTTCAACATCTTTTCCAGCACACCTGAACATATTTGAACGTGCACCTTAATGGTCATGTAGAGCCATTTTAGGCCAGTCTCATTCAAACTCAGCCTGGCGAGGTGCTGCCTGCTCAAATTAGCAAAGCAACCTCCACTACAGCTGTGCCAGTCAGGTAATTTCTGCCTCATACTTATTGGCTGTAATTGGGTTCCATGTTTGTCTCCTCGGCAATATGGCCATTTGAACTGAAAATCCCATTGCAATTGTGAAGCAGCTCAGGTGCAGAGTCAAGACCCAGAATTTGTCCAAACACTGGATTCTTGGCCTAGCAGTGAAAAATCTGTTCCAGAGCTGTTTCCAGTTTCCCTGTCCTTTCATTATTCTAAACACTTCTAACAAATGTGCCTAATTGCAGCATGTTAACCTGTTGGCCTTAAAGGGACATCAACTTAACATTTACAGAAGAATAATATATTTTGCATAACATGGTCTTTTACTTTGGCAGTCCTTGAGATCATAGCTGACTTGTTTGTATTCTTGCTCAGCTGGATTCTGAAATGGCCGATAAGTTGAATAACAACCCACAGTCTCTGCAACATGCAAGGTGGTGCTTGAAGGTTGGTTAATTCGGTTTACATGCCTTCCCCGATGCTTGACTGCATTTCCACACATTCACGGCAAAGTCTTTTGATGTGTTTCATGCCTTTCAGAATGAGCTTTTTCCGTTTTTTGTTGGTCATAAGCCATACATCTGTCATGAGTCCTTTGGTATGTTTGATCTCTTCTGGAATGCTTTGAGGATATCCCAAAATCATGTCCCTATTTTCCTGGAAGTCTCCAGCTGCAACAGTGTTCTGAAAAGAACAGTTGCTTCAGGGTCTGGTTTAGACCACCCTTCTTGCCACTAGATTTGGAGGAATTCACTGGTGGCACTTCTCCAGTGCTTTGAGGTGCTTATGTAGCTTTTCCAAGTCACCAAAACATAAACAAGGATCACCAAGGATCCTCAAATATTCTTTTCTTCAGTTGGCCAAAGGCTGAGCTGACACATTTATGGCCGTTATAGATTGTGACATCTGCGTCTTCCTTAGTCAAGACAGTAGTCCTATTATAAACAAAAGGCTCCGGTTTTCCATGATCTCACTACTGATCTTAACCTCTGGGGCAGGTACAGGGAAGTGGATGGAAAAGGACCTTAATTTTCATGGTTTTTGCTGAAAGGCACGTTTTCTCATATTTTTCAGGCAAGCTGGCAATGATTTGGAGCTCAATTCCTGAGTGAGTAGATACCTATGTGTATTCTGTGTACTGAAGCACCATAGTTGAGATTTAAGCAGTTGTGTGTTTTACATGATATAATGCACCTGGTCACTACAAAATAGATCTTGAGACTCATCATGAGCAATTACATATATTTATTTTGTACAGTCAAATCTAACATTTGCAAATTTATGAAGAAAAATTTATACTAACAGGCAAGAGCTCCTTTAGTGACTATGTGCTAACCATGTTAAAGAAAATTCAGGGTGCCGTTTACAATAAACAGGTCTAATATTGTAATAGCGCCTCAATTAAAATGAGAGAAAATTATTTTAAAATAAGTTCTGTTTATAGTTATTTTTAAAAATAAACTAAAATGACTTTATTAGGAATAAAGTGAAATAAACAGTACTTTGTATTTCTTAAACCGACATCAACAGATTTTGTTTTGGAACTTAGGATGATCCAGTCCTGAAGAAGGGTAACACCTGAAATGTCGATTGCTCTTTTCCTCCAGATGCTGTCTGGCTTGCTGTGCTCTTCCAGCATTCTGTTTGTCCATCTTGGTTTCCAGCATCTGCAGTTTTATTTGTGTCAATCTACTTTCTGTATTTTTTTTTTAAGTATTGACTATTACCAAGCAACGGCATAATAATGAATTTGTTGTAAAGTCACTGTTCAGTCATTTTACTCCCCAACTACATTTATGTTTCCTATCGTAGAAACACGTTTAGGGCTCAATGCTGTTTCAGTACTGTTCTCAAAGATCTTCACAAATTACATTAAGTGAAATAAAGCAATATTATCTTTTAATATATAGAGTAGATGATTACTTCCAAAACTATTATTTGAAATTCTTCCTTAATTTATCTTCAAATTCTTCAGACTGCCCAAGAGTATAGACTTTGACTGATTGGCTTTCAGACCTCTGGCAATGCTTCCCTGAAATAACCACCAGGGGATGCACAAGATTGCTGAGAATGACAGTGTCTTAATGTACAGCAACATCTATTTTCCCACTTCAAAGATCTGATTATTTGAATTCTGAATTCACCTGGGTGGTTCCCTGAAATGGCCATTGTGTATGACCATATTACTGACAAAGATAGAAAAACTGCTTGCAAAGACCGAAGACTCAAATGATGAAATTCCACAGATTTAAAATAAAGAGAAATAAATATAATACTTCCACTTCAGAGAATAAAATTTAAAGTACTTTTTACATAGATAGGACATGGAAGCATTTTGAACTGGAGGTTTCTCTTTTTCTTTATTCCCTTTCAGTTAACATCTCACAGAACTTTGTAACACAGATGGTGTAGTGCACAGGACTATGAAGGGTTAGCAACACATGCTCTGTTTATCAGATTTGTGGGGGTTCTGGTGTAACACCTAAGTGCAACAAATAATTTTCCTCGATTAACCTAACACAGTATTAATGGTCACTAAAGGAGCTCTTCAGCAATGAATTAGAAAACATGTCATATTATGTTAACAAATAAACTTGTGTGTTTTTCAGTGTCAACCAAGTAGTCTAGCTGCATTTTAAACCAAAAACGTTCAATTTCATGAATTTTAGTAGAGATCTTTGCAAGTAATCACACAAATTACAAAATAATAAGCAGAATTTTTACCTAAATATACTGCAAGAATGGGAGAATTATTAAGTATGAGAAAATGTCTAATGGGTTATATCTGGAGAAAATTTTGAATATATTTGTAGATGTTAATAGATTAAAATATTTTCAAACCATGAATGCCTCTGACAAAACAAGCTCAGTCAACAAATTACTGAAGCAATGCTGATAAAAGACCATGCATTTGGTGCTGGCTTTGGTTTTTCAATGCAAAAACAATTAAGGACACTGAGAAGTCAGGTGTAGTAGTGATAACCATAATGAGCAAAGCTCTCCTCTTCTCTGCTATAACACGATGCCCAAGCTGTGAAGACTACTCCTTATGCTACCAATGTGAACTGTTCCATTTTCCTCACAAATCATATTTTCTGTTTCTTTGCAAGTGCTGGTATTTTGCTGATATTGGATTGTGAAGCCTCATTATAAAGAAATAGACTGAGGCTGCCACGATTCATTTAATATTGGCCTCATCAGAGATAAGAAGAAGAAAACTTGAACACTTCACAATGTGTTAGATGAACGCACAACCTTCTGAACTGGAAAATAGAACCGAGCAGACAAAATATAGCATGAGTCTCACGAAAAAGCATTTTAAGAGCCATATTTGAGGGGTGACTTGGATCTGGATAGAAAATTGTGAAAACCACAGAAAATTGCTAATTGCGATCAAGCAGTGCAAGAAGGAATAAATATTTGAAGTAAATGAGGTGAAATTGCATATGTTGAAGACCGAAATGTGGAGAAAATAAGCAATTTGTAACAATGGAAATGTAGCTAGATTAGCACTATGAATACACCAGTAAAGCTAGCCCCAAAACAGGCAAAAGATCAACTGAAAATATGAGGTCAGCACAACACGCACCCTGCCCTGAACAATAATTTAAACATGGAAACTGGATTTGGATAAGTTGCCCAAAATACCTAAATGTATTCATATTTATCTTCAGTTGCTTTACTTTTCCTAACATGAGAATACTTACAAGAGGATTAAAAATAGGTTGATTTAAAACATAGACACAATGAGGTTACCAATGTTAGATCTAACAGTATGTCATGCATCAACAGACATGTCAATTAAATGCTACATAAAAGTACAAAGCTGTCCAAATTAGACAGCCTGTCAATTTAACAAACACAAAGGTCACGGCTAATATTCATTTTTGTCATTACATTTTACAAGAACATCATATGCTCCTTACAGAGAAAACTATGCATTTATTAAATTAGTTACAGCAGTAGCTTGCACTTTCACTCACCGAAACTGGTAACAGGCTTCTGAATCAATATCATAGATTGAATTCATACATATATAATATTGAATAAACTTTAATTTTTATGTCAATAATATTACGAATTCTGCAAATGCCAGAAAATTGTAAATCAACCAAAAACTGATTCTATACAACCTTTTTTCTTAAAAAAAGAACACAAATACTCAACTTTTTCGGTCTGGAAATCCTTTCGCATCAATTTTACCAATCACTATTCCAGCCACATTCTGAAATGAATAAAATAACGTACTGTGTTTAATACTACAAGGAGTCAATATCGAATATTAATTTTTGTTAAACCATTAATTAGTGTAGTTTTGTACCATTCAGTGTATTATTAGGTTTACTGACACCCATGTATTGTTTGGAGGCTGCAGTGGCATAGTTACTTGTATGCCAGAAAAGTATTTCTGGACACAACCGACAATACAACTTGATGCAAATCCTGATGATACCTGAATGCAGTAAAGACAAACAGTGCTAATCCCATCTTCAGAAAGACATTTTGTGTTATTTTGCTTAACACACAGTGTGGCATATGACTAAACCACTGTGAACCCTGGCACTTTGGATCTCCTGAATAATAAAAAGACATGCTAAATGTTAAGGCACAAGCAAGCATTGTTACCCAATTCCCAAATATTTAAAAATAATTGCTGAGGAGGCAGAGTTCAGTTCACCAATTCATTGTACAGGTGCAGGCAGCTTTCTTCTTGCAAATAAAGTGAATCACAACCAACAGTACACCTTTGGTTTTATTAGCTATGGATCACCCCATAGTTACTAGTATCAGACTGACACTGTATAAGTGAAACACTAAACGGATCTTTTTTTCCATGATGTTAAAAATCATCAGGTAATTTTAATTTTAGTGCAAGTGGAAAACAGATGGTTGTTGATCAGCAACAAGCGGCATCCAACCCTATCAGTAAGGACAAAGTACTGTCAAATGTTCCCACTAGAAATTTCTATTTCTACTCATAATGGAAACTATGTAGGTAAACATATCTAAAAACCTAGATTTCAAGGTCATTTTCCACAAAAATGGAAACACAGGAACATAAAATAGAAACTGAAAAATTAGGAAAGAATAGACGATTATAAAGTGTTGCACTGTGAACATATGCACTACAGGTAGTCTAATTACCCCAGCCTTTAACCCTGCTTCATCTGAAGACTTGACTTCTTGTATAGTGCCATAGAAGATTAACTCATGTTTTAATATAATGCAAAAAAGACAACACATTATTTTCCACAAGGTGAAATTTTTAACAAGCAAAAGTATGTCTACACATCACAGCTGAAACATGGGATTGCTTTCCCCAGTTTGTGTTGAATGATCAACAAACAAAAGCTATCTGCAGCTGTCTCCTGTACTGGAAACAGGAAGAAAGAAGGGAACATTTTGGACCAAGCTTAAATACACACTGATAAATAAGTCCTATCAAGCAAGTGTTTTAAATCCTATGTGAATGGAATAGATTTAAAGTATTACAAGGCCGTGCTGCAATTAGTACCTACAGGTCGTGCTGAGGTTGGATGAAGATCAGAAATTGGAACCAAGTTCTGGCCAGAGGAACCAAAAGCCATCATCTTATCCTGTAATTCACAAATAATAAGTTCAGACTCTAAACATTTTCAACAAATTTAAATAACCGAGGGGAGGGAGGGAGTGGGGGAGGGTGAGGGGACCTGGTGTATGGGGGTGGGGGGAGCAGGTGTGAGTGGGGGAAGGGGAAGTGAGCGGGTGTGAGTGCGGGAGGGGGAGGGGAGCGGCTGTGTGGGTGTGCGTGGGGTAGGGTGAGAGGACCTGGTGTGTGGGGGAGGGGCGCGGGTGTGAGTCGCGGCTCCTGCCGTTAACGGACCGGGCGCGTGGCGGTTCACGCGCTCCACTCGACGCTCCAACAGCTTCGCCGACTTCAGGGATCACTGAAGGGGAAAGCGTCCTGTTAGCGTCACCCAATATCACCTGGAATCGGTGTGTTTGGAGGATTTGATTTGTTTCTATGTTTCTTTCAGCCGTCCCGATATTAAACGTTCTCGAACACAGCCCGCACACTCTGTGGTGCCGGCCCGCGGTGACGTCACCGGAAGTCCCTGAGCTTCAGGTTGGCTGACTCCGAAATTCCGTCGTTGGTGTGAGTTAACGAACAGGCGAAACAACTCGGAATCACAGCCATCAACGTGTGTGGAGTGTTTGTGGTGGCCGGCCAAGACTGGGATGGAATGATCAAGCCTAGAGGTGACCAAAAGCACCATGATGGTTTCAGCAGTGCACCAGCTGATGCGAGTGAGGCATCGCGCGATGCCATGTGCATTGGGGAAGCGGGAAGCTCATCTTCAGATCAAATATAGCATCAAGTTTTTGAACAGTCTGTTTCCACTTTAGTCAGTTGCAGTGCAGTGGAATGCTGTCATCAAGGGAATTTGTGACAAACTTGAAGGCTCCTGTCTCCTCAATGTGTACACAGGAGTTCTGTGCTAGATGATGGGCAAGTCTCAGGCAATTTGGAAAGAGGACGTATCAAGCAGTGTAAGTTAAGAAAGATTGGGTATCTGTCATCGGTGTAATTGTGGAAATTTGATTTTGGATGATGTCTCAAGGGGGACAGCATCCGGATGAGAGAAAAGAAATGCCTAAGGATTATTTTTTATGGAGACCACCAAAAGTTACAGTGCTATAAGAGGAAGAGAAGCAGCTGTGAATAATTTGTTGACTACAATGGGGGATAAGAAAGAAATGAACACAGAAAATGTGCAAGTGCTCAGTTGTTATAGAGTCATAGAGATGTACAGCATGGAAACAGACTCTTCAGTCCAATTCATCCATGCCCGACCGGACATCCTAAATAAATCCAGTCATTTGCCAATTATTGACCAATATACCTCCAAACCCTTTCAATTCATATATCCATTCAGATGCCGCTTGAATTTTGTGATTGTACCACCATTTCTTCTGGCAGCTCATTCCATACATACACCATCCTCTATGTGAAAAAGTTGCCCCTTAAGTCCCTTTTAAATCTTTCCCTTCTCACCTTAAATCTATGCCCTACAGGTTTGGACTTCCCCATTCCGAGGAAAAGACCTTGTCTTTTATGCTATCTTGCCCCTTATGATTTTATAAACCTCTATAAGGTCACCCCTTATATTGGGGGATCTATAGTACAATCCCATAAGGCGATCATCCCTTTCTTATTTCTCAGTTCCACCCAAGTAACTTCCCTGGACACATTCCCAGGAATATCCTCCCTAAGTAGAGCTGTAATGTTATCCCTAATCAAAAATCTCACTCCTCTTCCTCTCTTGCTCCCTTTTCTATCCTTCCTGTAGCATCTATACCCTGGAACATTACCCTGGCCAGTCATGTCCATCCCTGAGCCATGTCTCTGTAATTGCTATGGTATCTCAGTCCCGTGTTCCCAACCATGCTCTGAGTTCATCTGCCTCACCTGCCTCTTGCATTGAGATAAATTTAATTTATCAGTCCTACTTTTTTCTCTGCTTTGTTTCTGCCTGCCCTGACTTTGAATTGTTCCCTTTCCCAACTGTACGAGTGTCACACTGATTTCTTTCCTCACCATCTCCCTGGGTCCCAACCCCCTCCATCCAACCACCACTAGTTTTAATCCTCCCAAGAAGCTCTAGCAAATCTCCCCACCATTATATTAGCCCCCTTCCAATTCAGATGCAATCCATCTTTCTTACACAGGTTACTTCTACCCCAGAAGAGATTCCAAAAACGTGAATCCTTCTTCCCTGCACCAGTTCCTCAGCCACTCATTCATCTGCTCTATCCTCCTGTTCCTACCCTCAAAGCTCATGGCACCAGGAGTAATCCACATATATCGAGGAGCTCCTTTCCAGATTCCTGCCTAACTTCCTATAATCTCCTCAGAATCTCATCCTTTTCTCTTCATATGTCATCAGTTCCAATGTGTACAATGACCTCCAGCTGGTCCCTCTCCCCTTTGAGAATATTCTGCATCCTCTTCAAGATATCGTTGATCCTGGCACCAGAGAGGCAACACACCAATCTGATGTCTCACTGCCGGCTGCAGAAATGTCTATCTGTGCCTCTGACTAGAGAGCCCCCTATCACAAACGATCACTTGGAACCTGACCTATCCCTCATTACATTAGAGCCTCTTAGAGTATCCGTGGAAAAGAGAAATTGTGGTGTAGTTGAACAGTTCCAATGAAAGATCATTGACTTAAAAATAAAATTGCATGAAGGACACCCACAAGAATCATCCTAGAGATCCCACCCAAGCTCTTGAAAGTTAAATTAGTAGCAAGTTACTCTCTACATGGAGATAGTTTTCTATTCAAGCCTTCTTATGATAAAGTTCACACAACTTCTTCCTATTTATTCACAGGATGTGGCCAGAATTTTTCGCCCATCTCTAATATCCCTGGAGAAGATGATGGTGAGCTGCCTTTGAATCATAACAGTTAATGTGTTGCTGACAGTGTTGTCAGGGAATAAGATTCAGCATTTGGAAGCAGCTACTGTGAAGTAATGGCACTATATTCAAGTCAGGAGAATATGTGGCTTGGAGGGGTACTAGCAGAATGTTCCTATATATCTGTTGTCCTTGTCTATTTTGGTGGTAGGTGTCACAGATTTGAAAGGTGGTGTAAAAGCAGCCTTGGTGAGTTGCTGCAGCACATTTTATATCACCAAATCTAAACATTAAATAGATAGAGTAAACAATAACCAACTTATCCAACACATTGGTCGGTTTCAATATTAAGTTATTGTTCACCAAACAATATTTAAAAGAAGTCATCTCATCTAATGCAACTGTGATATTACTGGATCAAATTTATGAACTTCTACTGATGTGCCTAAATTTGACATCTTTCTACAAATGTAGGACCTATCTAGAACAAACAAATATTGATGCTAATGGATCTCCATTGTCACTAATTGCTAATATCTTTATGGAAGAATTTGAACAAGCAGTACTTCAATCAACTAGTCTTCAGATTAAACTCTTGCTTTAATACGTCAGCAATACCTTCGCCTTATTGCAATGCGATAGGAGAAAATGTCATAATTTCTGACACCACCATAATAATTAACATTCAATTGTTAATTTTACCATTGTTACGATCAGTCCTTGGGCAAGCTTCTCCAAATTATTATGGTTCCAAACAGAATACCCTCAAATTGTTAAGTAGCCAGCGATGATTTTATTCACCTTTATTCACTTTTATTTATCTTTATTCACCAACAGTGAGGTTAATTTATTTAAAAATGCTACCTTCTACTTCCCATATATCAGTTTCCTTTGTCCATCTTGGTGATTCAGGTGGTTCTCCTATAATGCGATAGTTGCATTCTTGTGTGACATCATGCTATAGAAAATCTCCATAGAAAATCACGTTATAGGGAAATTGCTTTAGAAAGTCGCTATAACTGTATAGCAGAAAGTTCATGCTATCCAAACTGCATTCACTACAACAAAACATGCATTATAGCAGAACTACTTGTAGGTATGATGTGGAGGTGGCCAAGGTCAGAAGTCACAGGACACCAGGTTATAGCCCAATATGTTTGCTTGAAATCACAAGCTTTTGGAGTGCTGCTCCTTCATGAGGTGAAGTGGTAGGTGTCATTGATTTGGAAGGTGGTGTAGAAGGAGCCTCGGTGAGTTGCTGCAGCACATTTTGTATCATCTTTCTCCCAGACCAAAAACATTTATGTTTTTGAAGGAGCCAATTTAACCAGGCTTTCTTGAATTAGTGGAACAGTGAGTTTATTAGTTACTAAATGCAAGAAGAAGCAATAATGCAACACACATACACACAGATTGGAAATAAATCCAATTTATGCCCAAAAAATTATTAAAGGATATATGGATCAGTATCGTTGTGCCATTTGTGAAGAGTCAATAGTGAATATTGATATTTGAATAGTTGATTTTAGGATTCGTGGCTTTTCAGGTTAGTTGAAACCCTTTTGTCCCATTTCCTTTTGAAAGAGGCACTCAAGGTGAGGGAGTCCTACTTTTGTCCTGTTTTCCTTTGATGAGCTTTTTGGCTAGTTTGATTCTAGCACTTGCAGCAAGAGAGTCAAAGAAAAAGAAAAAGAACAAAGAAAATTACAGCACAGGAGCAGGCCCTTCGGCCCTCCAAGCCTGCGCCGATCCAGATCTTCTATCTAAACCTGTCGCCTATTTTCCAAGGATCTGTATCCCTCTGTTCCCTGCCCATTCATGTATCTGTCTAGATACATCTTAAATAACGCTATCGTGCCCACCTCTACCACCTCCGCTGGCAACGCGTTCCAGGCACCCACCACCCTCTGCGTAAAGAACTTTCCATGCATATCTCCCTTAAACTTTTCCCCTCTCACCTTGAAATCGTGACCCCTAGTAATTGAGTACCCCACTCTGGGGAAAAAAGACTTCTTGCTATCCATCCTGCCTATACCTCTCATGATTTTGTAGACCTTAATCAGGTCCCCCCTCAACCTCCGTCTTTCTAATGTAAATATTCCTAATCTACTCAACCTCTCCTTTAACTCCAGTGGAGGAATTACTAGTGGATGGTTTTTCAACTGTAGTATGCAGTGAAGCACACTAGTGCTTGAACCCAAGTTCATACACATGAGCACCTCAGCTCATTAGCCACACCTTTTTCCACACCAGATGCAGGCTTAAACAGTGTTTTAAATTTTGTTTATATGTATCCTGGAAAGGGGAAGTCACAAACCATATTTCTCATCCAACTGCTGTCTTTCCTCCCATTATTTTCACAGTCTGAAATAACTCCAAGGAGATTACAGTTCAGTTTGTCATGCATTTCTCTCTTTTAGATTCATCCCTTTGAATGTTCCTTGATACATTGCACAATCTCTCTCTTTCCAGATAGTCACAGAATTTATATCAGTCAACTTTTGGTTACGTGCCTTTTTTAAAAACAAAACACATGCAGTTAAATGTTCAAAATATCCATGGGTGATCTGGGTTATGATCTGTAGTCATGACATAATACAGATAGAACAACCACTTTCCAAACCATTTTTGATGTTGTCAACACCAGCTCTCTCAGAAGGGCACACACACATTAGGCCATAAGTCCACTCACACTGACAGATACCAGAACTGTTGATTTTTTTTTATCGTCCTCTTCAATCCAATTCGTTTTTAACATCTTTGTTAGAAAAACCTATTCTTTCAGTGACTAGAAACATCTACAAAAGGAACTTCAGCATATTAAATCTATACTTCAACTCAGTGGATTCCCTTCACACAATATTAACATGCATCAACCTGTTACTTGATCCATAACAGCTATTTCCATTAAGATAAGAGCCAGCCTCCCTTAAATTGGTTCCACCTCTCTCAGACTACAATTTATACTCAAGTCAGTGAACATAGAAGTCCAACTCAAGTCATCTAAGAAAAATACTCCGTGGAACCATTTGTGAATAAATATTAATGGGTGGCTGTGTATGTCTATAGGAGAATTTTTCTGAAAGGATAGATCTAGGGAGAAAATGAGCAGAGTAAGCTCAGTTTACAAAGAACAAAAGTTGAGATGGAAGTTGAAATCACAAAGGATGAAAGATCGCTAAGTGCGGGGCAGAGAGGAGAAAGCAGAGAGTATATCTTAGTGAGAAGTTTCATGTGATAATTGGGTCGGTGGTACAGAACAAGAATTTTAAGTGAAAGATGTTAAGAGTGGAACAAGATGAATGTCCAAATGAGAAGTTGCTAAAAGAGGGGAAAAAAATATCAAGGTGTGGTTTACATATGAGGAGTACACCATTTTGAAGGTATAAACAGGGCAAGTGGTGGATGCTACAGTCAGTTGGGGAAACTTCGTTAAGGAGAAATATAGCATCAACCCTCAGTTATGTCTCTGTCAAGGTAATAATAACAACGGTTGTTTGCAATAAACTCATGAAGGGCAAAGGCTTTATTCAAATGCATTTTTGAGGGACATTTGAAACAGTGACTAATCATCCTACATGGAGAATAAGAGATAGAAGTGATTAGTTGGACTCAGAGGAGGTTGAAATATTATCAGTAGGCAGGCACGATGGTAAAGTCAGGAACAGAATGGTATTGCTACTGAATAGGAGGCAGTGATAAATACCACAATAGCTCTTTTGAGAATACCAAGAGAGGCACAGAAGGAGGCTCTAGGGTTATTAAGAGGATACAAAACCTCATTTGCCACTATATGAGCTGGAAAGACAATGAGTACTTAAGAATTAGAAATTTTAACAGTGGATCACCAGAGGGTAGAGAGGAAAAGGAGGCACGATAACAGGGAAGGCTTAAGAGAGAAGAGAGGAATAAGAATTCATGAGTTTGAGTCTGAAGCAGTAACCAAATGCATGTGAAAAGACATGAGAAAATGAGGCTACATAAACAAAAGATTGTAAATTAGATTAAGATAGCTAAGATGAAATAGATGTGAGTAAAAAAAACTAGGTTTAAATCAAGATGTATAAATTTATAACAAATTGACAAATTGAAGACTGGACACCAAGACAGGTGAGTGGAAATAAGCAATGCAATGTCTGGGTGAGTCCCTCAGGAATTGCTGCTGGTAAATCTGGAAGTTGAAATAACAAGGTGCAGTACTGTCCAGCTGTCAGAAAAATAGATCAAAGCCTTTGCTCAAACAATCAGCTGAGTTTTGAATGAGTGTAAATAGAGACTGTGAAGAAGTTTCCAAATAACAATTTCTGTTGCCAAATCTTAAAATGAAGAGTGTAAGTAGTTCATTGAAATAGACTAGAGCTTTGAATTGAATCCACATCAATGTTCAAATCATTGCTGTCAATTTTAGTTTCTGTACTGGCAGGGCTAATTAATTGATGTTTTAATTCAATATGGCCCAACAAGTAGAATTAAGGGCAATTATTCCACTGTAAAGTGTTGAGAGATGTCAGATTCCAAGCCTGTCCCCCAAACCACAGTCCAGCAGAAAGACCGCGGGGAGAGATAATACTTGACAGTGGAGGAGCACCACTACAGATCAATGTTGTAGCAATCGTGTTTGAACCCGTTTGCATAGTAACGCATCTCAAGACATTTCAGAGGAGTGTTACCTAACAAAATTTGATACCAAACCACATAGCTTGAACAAAGAGATGGATTTTAGGGAGTATTTCAAAGGGGGAAAACAAGGTTCGGGGAGGGAATTTCAGAGTTTAGGACCTTAGCAGCTAAAGGCATGGTCACCAATGTTTCAGTGATTAAAATTAAAGTAGCTGACGAGCTTGGATTGGATGAGCACTGAAATATTGGGGGCTGTGGGACGTTGCAGAGATAGGGAAGGATGTGTCTTTTGAGAGATTTGAAACATGGAGAAGAGTTTTAAAATCAAGGGGTTGCATGACCGCTAGCTATTATAGGACAGTGAGCGCAGGGGATATGTGGGATTAGAATTTGGCATGAGCTGG